CCATCAGGCCCCATAGACTTGTGGGTGTCAATTCTCTTACATCCATGGAACTAGAGGCAGGTGGGTGGTGAGCTGCCTCATGAGCTGTCTGTGCTGTAGGAGGCTTGTGGGTGTCAGGGGCCCCATGCCATTTGGTGGTCCTTGTTGCCATGCTCCTGGCAGGGAAGAAAACCACACACGGAGGCTGCCTGAATCAGGCTGGGTGCAGACCCAAGAGCAGATCTCCCTCCCTGGAGGGAAGCTGGAAACACATCTCTACACGGTATCTACACAAGGTGGAGGATCCACTGGAAGCATAGGAGAGATCCACTGGGTAAAAGGAAAATTTTCTGTGTCTTCCATAAACTAATTCCGCTGGTCAAGGCAATGCCCAAGCATAGAAGCCATTTTATTGACCCTGAGAGACACATGAGTGTATCTCCAGCCTTCCTTCTTTTCAGATGTATGTGATGCTTCCCACTTTTGAAGCCTTGTTTATAGTTTCGTCTTCTCTAGGACATTGATATGATTCCTGTGAAGTGAAAGAACACCTTTTTTTAAAGCCCCTTGCTGTTTATGAATTAATGCTTCATGTTTCTTTTCATAGAAGATTATTGTCCTTGTCACAACAACCGCTGCATATGCAGAGAGAAGATCAGGCCATAGTGGTTGAGTCAACTTATTCCAAGTTTGCAAAGCAGTATTTTGGATGCAAATGAGTTTTTCTTTTCCCACTTCCCTTCAATATATATAGTTGTTATATATTCAACTGTGTTAGACAGCATCGTAACAAATACATATCAGAAAGCGAGCTGTAATGTATTTTACATAGTCAGAAGGTAGCGTCCCTGAAATTTCAGGGAACAAGTTTCAAGCAAGACAAGACTGCTTCTACTGCCTGCCTTGGCAATGCTTCCATTGTAGTCCTCTGAAAGTTAGCATGTGGCAGCCACTGCACTCATTTACCAGGCATTTTTGCTTGGACTCGGCTTCTTTTATAGGAAACCTGAAAAAAAAGATTCTGAACTAGGGGGTTTTCTGTTACATTTTTGTTTGAGTGACTTGATTTTATTAGAAGGCTTAAAAACAAAAAACCACCCCAATTTTCCAGAGTAACTGGTGTTGCTGCTACATCTTTCATATTTTTATGTAACTTTAAGGGGGTCTTCCCTGCTCCCTTTACCCCCTTCTTTCTGCTTCTTTCTGTTTCCCTCTAAAACAGAGGCTCTTGAGATGAAAGCTTGGCCTTCTTACGCCAGTGGGAGTTTTCCCATCCAGACCTCATGCCTGGAAGAGAGAAGGGAGACCACCACTGGCTCATTACTCTCTTATTCTGAAAACGTAAAGCAAAGGACATCACATGCCTGAATCTTGGCAGGGTTCAGAAAAATCTCTGCTGCAAAAATGCTAATGATACACCCTTTTGCTTACAGTGGCTTTTTAAAGGAAGAGTTTTCAATCTTTTCCAGTATTTTTTCTTTGCTTGTTTTATTTCTTTGTGGAGCTTCTGCCTCTTCAGTCAGGAAGTAAATGGATGATTTTAAGAACAGTAATTAATCTTAAAGGGGAGGGAGGACGACTGTGTCTCCCCTGCTGCACACAGCAAGCACTAAGCAATGTGAAGAATTTGGGGGGCTTCTGTTCGCCTTTTCTTTTTTTAAAGAGGAGACTGCCCTGGAGCGAGCATCTTGTCAGAGTATTTTCAAAGAAGGGGCATAATCATCTGTAGTTTTCCCATTGTCCCACAAGCTGTCTTCAAGTCACCTGAGAGTATTTGCTTGGCTTAGACTGGTGAGTTCATTCAGTGCTTACGCTGGATGCTTTGTGGCTTCCCAGCTGCAATGTGAAACCTTAAGCAGGCAGAGAAGGAAATTGGGAATGCAGTGTTTTCATTTATGGCTGAAGAAGACTTTGCACTAGGCTACAGGAAAGGTTTTATCATGGTCAGATTTAATCCAAACCATTCTGTGTAGTTGCAATAATAAATTTTCTAGTTTCCAGGTAATATACTTTAACTACAGCTTGATACCAGTGATAGATTTCTTTTTTTATATACTCTAAGGCCCTTTATAGCTTTTCCAGTTCAGGGTAGATTTAAGATGTTGACAAGTGTCTTCAGAGACAATAAGGATTTTCGATTTCATCCCTCAATGCTGCTGCTGAATAGGGCAGTGCTACTTCAGTAAGGATTTCAGCAGAAGCATGCAGGGAATTTTGTTTTTCTTACATTGACTATTGCAGAACACTCAATTTTTTTTTTGCAGACTAACAAGGGGGATGAGCTCTCAAACCGCATCCAGAATACGCTGGGTAACTATGATGAAATGAAAGACTTGTTAACTGACCGATCAAACCAGAGCCACCTTGTTGGGGTTCCAAAACCTGGGGTTCCTCAGACGTCTCTTCCCAAGCCCGATGAACGTCTTATTGCAGACTCAAGACCACCACCTCCTCCTCCCATTTCCAGTACTACTTCTTCCACACCAGCAGCCCTACCTGCACAGCAGAGCAAAAGCGCCACGATGGGTTGGCAGAAGGCCGGGCACAATGCTGCTTCAGATGGCCAGCAGAGAGCAAGCAAGCACGGGCACCGGTCACTGGAGTCACACAAGGGTGACTTCAAACTGATGAACCAAAAATCCAGTCTGGAGAAACTAAAACGCTATGCATCAAGTCCCACCTCCTCCTCCTCCAACACTGCCCAGCAAAGCTCAATGAGGGCCACGCTAGGAGACAATGTCAACAGAGTGCAGCAGCCGGCAAAGCTCAACTGTAGCTCAGAAGGAGGAGCTCAAGGGCAAGAGAGGCCAGCAAAGCATGGTGGCGGGCACTGCGTCCAAACCTTCCCGCCCTCTCTTGCTTCGAAGCCGAGTCTGGTTCAGCAGAAACCGACAGCTTATGTAAGGCCAATGGACGGTCAAGACCAGGCTCCTGATGAGTCTCCAAAGCTGAAGTTACCAGCAGAGACGACCAAGTCATATAGGGAAGTGCCTTCTAACAAGCCTGATTCGGCCAGGACGAAGTCAAAGATAACCAAGTTCAGCATTCCTAAGCAAGAAGAGGTAAGTGTTTTTGTGCTTTTTATGACATACCCCATTGGATGGCTGATGCCTTAGAACTGCAAATTTCATCTGCCTCTTTATACATTTTTAACATATTAGTTTGCATGCTGAATTTCTTTTTAACGTTGACATAGTATATTGCAAATAGCAGCCTCACAGTAACGCAAGGATAACTCAAGAGTGAAATGCTCACTGTCTTCAGGACCATAACACTTCCTACAATGGCACAATTTTTAGTAGTATATATTATTTCACAGAGTTTTTTTCCTGAGTGTCCACATATAAAGTCTGGATATTTTTAATTATTTTTGGTTTGTTTGTTTTTTTTTTTGCTAGGTGGGTGTATTACTTCTAACTGTTCATATTTCGTTGACTTCTTTCTCTTTGGCAGTGATTAAATGAAGTGCTTGTGATGAGTAGTGGTTCTGCTATCCTCAGTGATGTCAAAGTAGTTTCACAATCTAAATAAATTGCTTAAACAATATGAGATCTGTGAAATAGATGAGAATATAGCAATGAGACTCTTCTTTTAGTTCATAGTATCTGTTTCCGTTTCAAACCAATTTCTAAGATTGAGGTTTCCTTTCTAAAGAATCACCATCTGTAGAAAACCAGCCAAGCTACAAGTATGATAACGTCTGAAAAAGCTTCTAGACAGCATTTCTGTTATCAGCAGTAGATATGAAAGGTTTTTGCTTAGACTTATTTTATGTTAATTTGTTTCACATTCCATTTATGCCAGTAGGACACCTTGCTTTATCACTTATAGAGTCTGTGATTTTCTGTTAGAGCTTTTTGGATGGGGAGGAAATGGTTGGTTTTGGCAGAATGAAGGGTGATTATTTTTTAATTGGGTGTATTCAGAGACCTGTATGCCAATACAAAGATGGTCACATCATCCTCTTGTGCACATCGGTAGAGGTCTCATGACTTGAACAATTTATAGTATTTATAGGACTGAGGTATTCTATTTGGCTGAATCACTGTGACTTTCTCAGAGCAGAGGTGATGATTGTTTACTCTTATTTGACAGTTGTGGTGTGTCTTGAGGTGCTTTTAGTCTTAACATTTTTGTTTCTGGCATTGTTAAAGGCAAGGAAAAATCTAATTTTTGGTGCAATTCTCTGGCCTCTTAATGCCTGTTTTTCAGAAACGGTGTTGACTGTTGTATTCCCCCTTCGGTTCAGTTTGGGAAGGAAATCTCTCTGGAAGCAATTATTTCTCTCAGCTCTTTTAGGCATTATACCCATGTGGGTTTTGTCTAAGCTAAAGTTCCATCAGTTCCAAACAACACATACGTGATATGTTGTTCCTGAAAAGGGGTTGTTTTAGGCTCTTAAGCCAGATTTGATAAGCAAATTTAGCATTCATAAACTGCTGTAATTGTGCAGATAGATCAGGTAATGGCAGATACTAATATCCATTTAGCTATTATTACCTCTTTCAGACTTGTACTTCTGTCTGCAAGTGAGAAGTATTGTTAGAATTAAAGATGCCTGTGGCAATTGTCTGGATCTTTCAAATTTTCCCCCTTTACATGTATGCAATACTCTAAGGACTAGTTTGGAAAGGAGTTTTGATAGGCAATCATTTGTTTGTCTGAAATTCAGGATTTACCATTTGCATTCCAAATTTGCCTACCTCAGGAAAGAAAGCTTTCATCTGTTGTATGCAATCTATGCCGATGCATAAGGATATACTTACACTGCAATTTCTAGACATGTAGATGTATTTGAGATTGCTTTAAACTAACTTGCTTAGATACTGATGGCAATGTAGGCTCTGGTAGGAGAGAGCGGACTGCAGGGTAGCTACTAGTGTTCACCAGCTTCTCACAGATTGTGTGGGATGCAGTATTAATGAAACAGTATTTGATAACATAATATAAACATTTAACTGAAGTTGAAGGAGGTGGACAAAAAACATTGTCTGGTAGGTGAAAAAAGAGCTAAGAGATAATAAAAAATGATGGACAAATTACTCAGAAGAAAAATAGTAGATACTATAGGTGTTGGGATTTGAAACTGAAGCTAATGAAAGACAGTGTTTAGATCTCATGTTGGAGGGCTGAGAGTCCTCATGATAAAAGTGCCCAGCTTTTTTTCTTTATTCTGACATTTCCTTTGTTCTAACATTTTCCATCCCAAATGGCACAAGATGAAATTGGTAACCCACTGGTATTGCTACAGGGAGAAATACTGACCAAGACTGAAAGTTTTTTCAGTCAGTGTTGCCTAATCCAGCCTCCCTTTAATTTTCAATCATACTCCTTTTTATTTCAAAATGTTTTTCCATTCTTGTTATTTGTATCATACGTCTCCTAGTACAGTTTTGTAAGAATTTCCATGCGTTTTTTAAATTTCTGCTTTCAAACTCATAAAACTTCTTTGCATCAAATGTTCATTGTCCTCTATTAGGGACAGAAGTTTTAAGCTGCTCTCAGCACAAAAGCTGCTGTAGACTTGTGAATATTTGCAGGCAAAATGAGGCTTCTTTTGTTCAGCGTGAAGCTAAAGATGATGGCCAGGAAAGACCTTGTATCTCTAGCGGCCATGGGATGACCATAATAGGATAATCATGAGGGAAAGCAGGCTGACAAGTAGGGTAGAACAGTGTCTGGGAAGCTGTATGGAAACAAATGAGAATGGCAGAAAGCTGCCTAAGAGCAGCCAGGAGAATATGGAAAGCAGGAGAGGGGCTGAGAGCTTGGGGATAGGGTATCTGGAGTGCAGGTGATGGAATGAAGCTTGATGTCTGCTAAAATAAAAGGTGTGTGGCTGAGATGGACTAGGTAGGGCAGTTAGTGTGCCCTGGGGGCTAGTGTAGGCAACACCATGAGGTGTTGCTGGCTCATGATCAGCTTGTTGTCCACCAGGACCCCCAGGTCATTTCCAGTCAAGCCAGCCCCCAGCCTGTAATGGTGCTGGGGTTATTCCTCCCCATATTCACGACTTTACATTTTCCTTTGTTGAACTTCTTGAGGTTCCTGTCAGCCCATTTGTCCAGCCTGTTGAGGTCCATCTGGACAGTAGCATGACCCTCTGGTATATCACCCACTTCTCCCAGTTTGTGTCATCTCCAGACTTGCTGAGGGTGCACTCTGCCCCATCATCCAGGTCATTAATGAAGATGTTAAACAGTATTGGCCACAGTATTGACTGCAGGGGTACACCACTAATGACTGGCCTCCAACAGGACTTTGTACTACTGTTCACCACCCTCTGGACCACTTTTATAGACTTTACTTTCTGTCTACCCGCCTAATTTTTTCATTACACACTTTTTTTTTCTACTTTCAGCTCTTAAAATGTGTTCATAGTGATACCGTGGTCCAAAACCTATACTTTTTAACTTGTCGTAGACAAGTTCTGCAGCTGCTTAACTGAACTGCAAACTCAACTGCAGGAGGCTGTAAGGGAAAAAGGTGCAAGTAGGGGAAGCAAGATGTGTGTGCAGGGTGTAGGTGTGAGATAAAAGATGAGACTCAAAGGAGGAAGAATTGGGAGGCAGCGGAGAAGCTGCCTAGCCTGACAAAGTAGAGAAGCAAATGGTGAGAAACGGCCATTTACCCAACTCCTGCACAGTTGGGGCTCATGAAGCGATAAGTATTTCTGTGTGATGTTTCAGTTTTATTTTGAACATCATGTGGCTCTAGGCAACTTCAGGTTCCACAGAGAAAACCATGAAACAAGAATATATTGTTATAAATCTCCCGATTTGCAAGTCCACTTACTAATGCATTCAAGTTGAGTTCTGTTTCCATGCACTTGCATTTAGGTTATAGTACTTTCCAGAATCTGTCAGTATATCTACTATCTATCCACTTTCATTTGTGTTTAGCAATTTGAAGTAACCATAAGTGGAAAAATAAACACATAATGAAACAAAGTTAAGGCTCCATGTAAGAACTGAAGAATAAGAA